AATGAGTGTAAGGCGGACAGTATGTGTCATTCTGTATTCACCACCATGTTTCACGGAATCACCGATTGGTACACAGGATCGGCGCTTTTGCTTAAGTATCCTATGCCGGTTTTATTCTTGCCCCTCAGCGGCCGTCGTTCGTCTGAAAGTCACAAGTTAAAGGCGAGTAGCACTGTTCTTTAATTTTTCAACGCGGAGCAGTGTGCTTGTCTCCATCTGGTACGCATAAATGAGTGCCGACATATGCTTTAAACTTGATTCAACAATGAGCTTGAACAGCTGTCAGGGGAAAGATTTCACGAATGGAGAAGTAAATTGCCTTATTGAAAAGGTGCGTTCTGAACTCGGAAATTTCTTACAATATTTTCCCTCTGTTCGCTGGGTCAGCGGTGAAAGACCCTCTGATCCCGCCTTTTCCATCAGGGCTCAATTAAGAATGAAGCAAATTTGGGGGCGACTTAACTCCACGGAATTTCAAGCATCGTGCAACGCGTTTCGCAGTCCATGATTTTGAGGCAGGCAACATTTTTTTATCAATCTATTTGCCCCACTCAATGAAGTTTAAGTCTGGAGTTGACAACTTGGTTGGCGTCTGACGTGGGCTTAGTGGAGTACTTAGATGTCCATGCGTGAGATAAGCGAGAAGGTGAGCCTAATTGTCAGCAGAACGGCGAACGCTTTCGAGGAGAATTTCTCATTTTTCAGTGGGATGAACATGTTTCAGGAGCCAGATAACACATTTTTTTTCGGCATCCCTCTCGTGATGTTTTGCGGTCATTTTGAACAATGCGCTGAGTCTCCTCTAAGTGACACGTGGACGCACTTTTCGTAATTCGCAAAAAGTGCGAGTCAAAAGACCACTGCTTTTGGGCATCGACATTCATTATGGGGCGCTGGATTTTGGACCCGGATTTGCAAGCTGTTCGCAAAAAATAGACTCCGGCTTGCGAAGACATTTGGAAGGCTGCTGACCCGTACCAGAATATATTGTATTGGTCCCAAAACGCAACCCTGGGGAACTCAAATGGACATCATCCTTCGAGAAGAGTAGATCGAATCTGACATCATGCAACAACCTAGTGTGCGGAGCAGGAAGACATGTAAGACTCGATCAAATGCTTTTGGGAAGTCGGGAATTACGGCGTGCGAAATG